TAGTATTCTGTCGTAAGAGTCTTCCGTATATTGACGTTATAAAGAAGAGAGAGAAAAATGAATAGGCCTAGGGTCGCCGTCACCTGGAATATCTTTGTTCAAACCGTGCCGTCCCGTGAATGGGGGGCATTTATGGAGGTACGCTGTGTTGTCGTCGTCTTCAGGAATGTCCACGTCTTGATATGATTGATCAAAGTCAATATCTAGTACGATTTCTGCGTCACGTAGTAAATCTTCAGGTCCGAATCCCTAAAAGTCATTGTCAAATATATCGCTGATAATCTACAGTCGTTCGATTCGTCTTCTCTCAGTTTGTCGTCCGCCATTTTTCTGCGCTGTTAACAAAACGAATCTATGCTCTCGCGGTGATGGTGGCTTAGTTTATAAATAAACTGTGGGTATCGCGTATTCAGCCAATGAAATTAAGGTATAAACGAATACGTCATCATTTCTAAGTAAAGCTAGCAGTGATTTTCTCACCGCAGTTCCGTACTTAAAACGGCAATCCCGGAATCGACATATGCCGCGATCGGCAGTGGAAGGCATGTTTTGCAGAACGACATATGCCGCGCTTGGCAGTGGGAAACGGGTTTATAAAAACGACATATGCTGCACTTGGCGGGATAAGGGTTTTAAATCAGTGATATGAGGTTTCAGTGAGATAGCAATGTTCAGTCTGGTCTGCTACATGACATTGCAATGACATATCAGTGTTTATACGTATATCTTATACAGCTGGGCTCTCAGACTTGTATTGGTATTTATACATATATCTTATACAGCTGGGCTCACAGCCTTGTATTGTTGTTTATACGTATATCTCAAACAGCTGAGCTCACAGACTTGTATTGGTGTTATACATATATCACATACAGCCGGGCTCACAGACTTGTATTGGTGTTTATACGTATATCTTATACAGCTGGGCTCACAGACTTGTATTGTTGTTTATACGTATATCTCAAACAGCTGGGCTCACAGACTTGTATTGGTGTTATACATATATCTCATACAGCCGGGCTCACAGACTTGTATTGGTGTTTATGCATATATCACATACAGCTGGGCTCAGAGACTTGTGTTGGTATTTATACATATATCTTATACAGCTGGGCTTACAGACTTGTATTGGTATTTATACGTATATCTTATACAGCTGGGCTCACAGACTTGGATTGGAGTTTATACATATATCACATACAGCTGGGCTCAGAGACTTGCATTGGTATTTATACATATATCTTATACAGCTGGGCTTACAGACTTGTATTGGTGTTTATACATATATCTTATATAGCTGGGCTCACAGACTTGTATTGGTAGTTATACGTATATCTTATACAGCTGGGCTCACAGCCTTGTATTGTTGTTTATACGTATATCTCAAACAGCTGAGCTCACAGACTTGTATTGGTGTTATACATATATCTCATACAGCCGGGCGCACAGACTTGGATTGGTGTTTATACGTATATCTTATACAGCTGGGCTCACAGACTTGGATTGGTGTTTATACATATATCTTATACAGCTGGGCTCACAGACTTGTATTGGTGTTTATACATATATCACATACAGCTGGGCTCAGAGACTTGTATTGGTATTTATACATATATCTTATACAGCTGGGCTCAGAGACTTGTATTGGTATTTATACATATATCTTATACAGCTGGGCTCACAGACTTGTATTGGTGTTTATACATATACCTTGTATAGCTGGGCTCACAGACTTGTATTGTTGTTTATACGTATATCTTATACAGCTGGGCTCACAGACTTGTATTGGGGTCATACATATATCTTATACAGCTGGGCTCACAGACTTGTATTGGTGTTATACATATATCTCATACAGCCGGGCTCACAGACTTGTATTGGTGTTTATACATATATCTTATATAGCTGGGCTCACAGACTTGTATTGGTGTTTATACGTATATCTTATACAGCTGGGCTCACAGACTTGTATTGATGTTATACATATATCTCATAAAGCCAGGCTCACAGACTTGTATTGGTATTTATACATATATCTGATACAGCTGGGCTCACAGACTTGTATTGGTGTTTATACATATATCTTATATAGCTGGGCTCACAGACTTGTATTGGTAGTTATACGTATATCTTATACAGCTGGGCTCACAGACTTGTATTGGTGTTTATACGTATACCTTATACAGCTAGGCTCACAGACTTGTATTGGTGTTATACGTATACCTTGTATGGTGTTATACGTATACCTTGTATAGCTGGGCTCACAGACTTGTATTGGTATTTATACGTTTATCTTATACAGCTGGGCTCACAGACTTGTATTGGTATTTATACGTATATCTTATACAGCTGGGCTCACAGACTTGTATTGGTATTTATACGTTTATCTTATACAGCTGGGCTCACAGACTTGTATTGGTGTTTATAGGTATACCTTGTATAGCTGGGCTCAGACTTGTATTGGTGTTTAAAGGTGTACCTTGTATAGCTGGGCTCAGACTTGTATTGGTGTTTATAGGTATACCTTGTATAGCTGGGCGCAGACGTGTATTGGTGTTTGAAGATTTATTGAGTTGTAGTGTTATATAATCTTGGAAGGATTATACAGATAAGTTGTTGATGGTGTCCAATGTAAACTCTGTACCAGTAATAATGGGAACGGCTCAGTTAGGCTGCATTCTATTCCCCAATAATCATCACATTTATTTTGCACGCCCTTAATTTTTGTGTTATATTAATTCACTGCTGGTTTATATAAGGGGAAGGAAATTTGTTAGATGATTGAAAAAAGTACTGTTACATGATTTTAGGGAGGTGATAATGTAGGAAATAGTCTGGTTTACAGTAGCTGAAGAGTGAGTTTGAGCAGTGAATTGGAGTTGTCTGGTTTACATGCACAGATGTTCACTTAAAGTTCGCTAGTATTACGTACTGTGAGCAGTGATCTTCAGATGTGTGTCTGAGGAGACAGATAAGTTACTGTGTTTATCTCATGGAGGTCTGAGTAAGTGACTGTGATCAAGCCCGGGGACTTTCTGTTAAATATTGATATGTTACTGGTAGACTTAAAGGGTGAAGGTCATGGTATTGATTAACTTGTCAGAGATATGGTAAGCTATATATAGAGAAGGACAAAGTACAGGGGACCAGACACAGGCTCCTACCTGTGACATGTGACCAATAGCAACTTTGTATTGTGTGTCAAGGTCACTAATCTTAGGTGAAGTGGTATTGCGTGTCAAGGTCACTAATCTGAGGTGAAGTGGTGTTGTGTGTCAAGGTCTCTTATCCGAGGTGAAGTGGTGTTGTGTGTCAAGGTCTCTTATCTGAGGTCAAGTGGTGTTGTGTGTCAAGGTCACTGATCCGAGGTGAAGTGGTGTTGTGTGTCAAGGTCTCTTATCCGAGGTCAAGTGGTGTTGTGTGTCAAGGTCACTGATCCGAGGTGAAGTGGTGTTGTGTGTCAAGGTCACTGATTGGAGATGGAGACCGAGCCCCCTACTGTTTTAATGTACAGTTCAGGGCTCTACCATAGACGTGTAGAACCAGTACCTTACACATGTACAGTTGTGTAAGAGGCATGTTTTGTTGTTTGGTTCAAGACGTGTGTTCTTCCTGCTTTTCCTCAATCTTTTCTTCTAATCTGCTCATGATGAGAATCAGCCTGGTTAGCATTGTTTATCTAAAATATATACCTTTGTTCTCTATTCTCAAATAAATGAGCAATTTCCATCAACTGTCAATAAACAATACCAGCCAGGTGAAATGTATTGGAACTCTTGATCCTATGCTTATTTATGTTTTTTGATATTTGATGGTATTCATCGTAGTATGGAGCTTGTTTCTGTATGGCTGAAGGCAGTGATGTCAGCTAACTGGCTGTGTGTGATATTTCATACATGTGTGGTATTTGGTACAGACAGTAAGACACTGATGTAGTGTAGGATTAATACAAGTCTACACTATTAATACATATGGTTATAAAACAGTGCATTACAACAGGCTTTTAAAGCAGATTTTTATAAACCTGTACCAGATATTATCCCTAGCCTACATACCATAGTTCATACTACAGATATCATTATCCCTAGCCTACATACCATAGTTCATACTACAGATATCATTATCCTTAGCCTACTTCATTCCTGTAACATTATGAAGCATATATGGTTAAGAATTTGGTATCTGTGAAAACAGTGGGACATTGATTAAAAATAAATACAGAGATCCCAGGACTTAGTATGTGTGTATTGCTGAAGATTATAGGTTTCCTGAATGCTGAAGATTATAGGTTTTCTGAATGCTGAAGATTAAAGGTTTCCTGAATGCTGCTGAAGATTATAGGTTTTCTGAATGCTGAAGATTAAAGGTTTTCTGAATGCTGAAGATGTTTCCTGAATGCTGAAGATTATAGGTTTCCTGAATGCTGAAGATTATAGGTTTCCTAAATGCTGAAGATTATAGGTTTTCTGAATAAGGGGGAAACGATTGAAATGAAGTTAATGCATGTCTTGTCAATTACACATCTCATATACTGCATTCATTTATTCATTCATAATTTAGCTAGAATATTTTCTGATGGAAGATAACATCCCGAAAACATTAGCCAGATGTATGTATATGGTGTAAATAACATCGACACAAAATACCACAACAAAGAAGAAAATCAAAGAGTTCATTTTATGCTTCATTCTGTTCCTTGTGTTCACTCGTCTAGCAAAGTATCCATAATGAATTTCTAGTATATCCCGTGTGTTGATAGGTTTAGTACTCATGCCATAATGAATTATGTCCCTTGTGTTCACTTGCATTGTTCAGCAGAGTAAAAACTCACAATTTTGTGAATTATCTCCCCTTGCGTTCACTTGTTCAACAGAGTGAAAAAGATTCAATAAGGTTCATCAGTTTGGATATATGTAATATCAAAGTTTTACTTTATACAAAAGAATGTACCAAAAAAACTAAAAAAGCCTTGAAATTCATATGAGTACATTTCCTTGCAGGTTCAGCAAAGTAAATAGCCATGCCGTTCATACAGCGGTGTATAGAGCCGACGCAGGTGAGCCGCGAGGAGGTGGACAAGTCGGTCACTAACGAGCTGGAATGTGTGACCAACCACACCCTAAGTAACATCATCCTTCAGCTGAGCAGTCTCAGTAAGCATGCCGAGGACATGTTCGTCGAGTTGACCGCAGAGGCTGATCTGTTCTGTAAGCGGGCCGGCCAGCTCCAGTACAGAATAAACCACCTTCGTGACAAAGTCACACAATTAGATGCAGCAGTAGAACCAGGTAAGCACAACACTGACCATGGCTGTTGTAACAACACTGACCATAGCTGTTGCTGTTACTGGAAGATTAACAATCTCTCCTCCTATGGGATCATGGGAGAAAGTAGACTAGATGTAGACTTGTGGTAAACATAGTGTATGTGTTCACTCTGTCATGAAATACTGAGTCGATATTCATATTTCAACAGATTTCTTTTGTATCCCTTGGTGCTCTAACACTTTGTCTGGTCACTGGTCACACACATGGGTTGTGCTTATGGTCTTTATGTTGTTAATGTGAAGCAATGTTCTTTGTAGGTGCAGCAACACTTCCAGCCTATAAGCCAATAAGAGTTATGGACCTTATATTGCCATTTACAGAATAGCTAATTATCCAGAGTTAAACTATTTTGATTCTGATGTTTTTGAGTGTGTAGCACAGGAAGAAAGTTATTTGACAATCTTGTCCACTTGTTGTCTACATAATCCACTTGTTGTCTACACAACTTTAGTTAAGTTTGATGAAGTTCTACTCTACAATATAAACATAAACTGAAGTTTATTCTCCGCTTGTTGTTCCAGTGTCCCTACAGGATATCCACCTGAGGAAGCCTTTTAAGAGCTCCATGCCTCACGACCAACAGGTGGTGTCACAGATCACCATGCCCCGCGCCATCCAGAACAGTTATAATCATTGTGATCAGCCACCTGCTCTCAGTAAACTCGACGTATTTAGGTTAGTAAACCCTCTACTTTGGGTCCACTGTTCCTGGCATGGTCATGTCTCACATCCTAGTGAGGTCAAACTTTTGTTTTGTACATACAAAAATTGATTACTGACAGGACTCCAGTGCTCAATGAACTCTTCAGTAGGGTCTTGCATCAAAGATGTAGGTGTTTTATAGTAATCACAGTGTCTGTCTGTCAGGCATTCACTTCTGGAGATTATCTGGGGTAATCAAAAAGTCTAATCTTGTTTAATTTTGACATGGTGATACAATGATAAGTACATGTTCAGCACAAAAAGTGAGTTCATTTTCATTTAAGGTGTCCATTGTAACTTTTGAGTTCAAAGTTCCTGTAAAAAGACCATTAATTGAATTTCAGGTGATAAATTAATCTCGTAATATCAATCAAATATGAGTCATTAAGATGTCATGTTTTGTGTTAATACTGGTAAAAATGGGTGGAAAGTTATTGATTTTTAGCTCACCTGGTCCGAAGGACCATGGTGAGCTTATGCCGTACCACAGCATCCGTCGTCCGTCGTCTTCCTGGGCGTCATCTGCCCACTTTACACTACTAGACATGAACCACTGAGCAGATTTTAACAAAATTTGGTGTGGAGCATCCTTGGGGGAGAAGACCCAATTTTGTATAAATGGTGGGTCTGGCCCCCCAGGGGCCTGAGGGATGGGGCACAATAGGGGAAATATAGCAATTTCTGGCCCCTAAGGGAAACCATTTCCTAAAAATCCTTCTTCTGTAGGAATGAAAGGATTTGGTCTGAAGCATCCTTTGATGAAGGGGATCCGTGGGTCTGGCCCCCAAGGGGCATGAGGGGCACGGCCCAGTAGGGGAAACAGCAAAATATTCTTTAAAATCCTTCTTCTTCTGTAGAAATGAAATCATTTGGTCCATATTTGGTGTGGAGCATCCTTGGGTGAAGGGAAACCAATTTTGTATAAACCATGGGTCTGGCCCCCCAGGGGCCTGATATACGGGGCCCAATAGGGGAAACAACGCCAATTATTCTTTAAAATCCTTTTTTTTTTGTAGGAATAAAAGGATTTGGTCCATATTTGGTGTGGAGCATCCTTGGGTAAAGGGAAACCAATTGTGTATAAACGATAGGTCTGGCCCCCTGGGACCTGAGGGGCGGGGCCTAATAGGGGAAATAGAGGTAAAACCTTTATAATCCTTCTTTTACCATAGGGATTAAGGGATTATATCCTTATTCAGTCTGGAGAATCCTGGGCAAAAGGGATTCAATTTTTTATAAACAGCAAGTGTAGCCTCCCTGGGGGCAGAAGGGAGGGGCCCAATAGGGGAAATAGAGGTGAAGACTCAATTTTGTATAATTGATGGGTATCACCCCCTAGGAGCATAGGGGTGGGGCTCTGTTTGAAGATTGTTCTCGCTATATCTCAAGTTCTGGATGAATCTTTCTGAAATTTCATATGACAGCACCTACCATGGAGTGCTATATCTTTACTTCATACCAATAATTTAAACATATTCAGGTGAGCGATACAGGCCCTCTGGGCCTCTTGTTTTATCGAGGTTAGGAGTAGGACCCTAATAATGTTATGTATTGTATTTATAGGGAGGATGGACGGGACAGTATGAAATTCTACACTGATCCAGGATACTTCTTTGAATTATGGTATGCAGAAATTCAAAAAGACATCGAACAAAAACGAACAGAACTACGGAAAAAGAAACGACAGGTAGGTGTTGCATGTTCTTTAATTTCTGGGATTTTTGTTAAACATTATTTACTGTTCTAGATCAAAATTGTACTTATCAGTTCCATCTAAATCAATTTTTGCTTTGTTTTACAGCGACCAGGCAAGGAGCAAACAGGAGGTCGACGACCGCGTCAGGTGGTCACAAAGAAGGAGAAGTATGCCCATGCAGCACAGGGTGTGGAGTTTAGTGAACATTACAGAGACCCTAAGGCTCTGGGTATTCAGCCCACAGCTAACCACTACTCTTCACAGAACCTCCACAATGACGCTAGAAATGCAGACCAGCATCAGCGCCCGGGTAGTCTAGATGTCCGCCACAGTCAGGCCAAGGGCCATCCAAAGAAGGCTAATGGGCCTCTCCCTGCTGGTCCTCCACCACCACAACAACCGGGGTACCCTCAACAACCAGGGCAGCATATACCTGAGCAGGAGTTCCAGACTCCACCCTACACCAACCACCAACCCTATTCCTCTCCACAGCACCAACCAAACAGAAACTCTGCACGTCCACACACTGTGATGCAGAGTCCTGCCCGCCCCTCCCAGCCTCCCCCTGCTCCTCCTCCAATCATGGGTGACCGACAGAGTCCTTCTACACGGGACAGTTTGCCCCCACCTCCACCCCCACCAGACCCCCACATGTCGTACACTCCCAGCCCCCAGACAACTCCTCAGCCAGTGCGTCACCCACTGGTCCATCAGAACAGCCAACACTCTCCTGCACACCAACCTAGTCCGCCCCGACAAGACTCCACCACTGTCCTTCCTCCTCCTCCACCCTCCCCTCCTAACTCACAGACCCCAGACACCCCGGTCAATCTGCCACCCCCACCCTCTCCTCCAGGCATGGGCATTTTGCCCCCACCTCCTCCCCCTCCTCCTCCACCCCCTCCCCCTCCTCCTGCAGAGGCAAAGCTGAACGGCATCGTTCACATGGCCCATGACACAACATCCATCTCCTCCTCAACTAGCTCAATGACAACAGGGTCTACAGGAAACATGCCTGAGCCACCGCCTGCCGGCAGTGGGCGGAGTGCCCTCCTGGAGGAGATACGCAACAAAGAATGTAAGTGTTGTGAGCTAGTTCATATCATTAAACAAAAAGTTTCAAACTTTTATAACTTACCTGCTCAACACAGTAACTTGCAAGTGATAATAAGCAGTGGTAGATTTCTCTTTGACAGTGTATGTAGCCTTTCTGTTTCATATCATCGAATAACATTTTAGGTATTATGAGTCGATGTCTCTAGTGACCTATAGCATTCTCCGTTGGTCCATGATTTTCTTTAACTATTCACATTTTCTGTTTCTGAAAAAGAACTGAACAAAATTTATTAAAAAAAAAATGCATGAATATTCATTCCATGACTTAAGACAAACCGATATGTAAATTATATGGGCCTTACAGGTATGAGTCAATTTCGAGGGACCAGACTTTATTGATCCTTTTGGGGAGTGATATATAGCTCTTAGGGTCATCCCATTTGCACCAGTGTATTATTTTTGTTTATTGTAACCTGGGAATCTGTTTGTGCTAACAGGTTTGTCAAATGGTTCTTGACAAAAAAACCAAAAAAAACTTCAATTATCGAACGGTGGTATTTGTACCTGTGGCAGGCATAAAGTTCTAGTTTCAGTTCACTCATACAGGCAGACAATGATGGTTGTAACTTATTTAAGTTCACACTTACAGGCCAACACTGACAGTTTCAGCTTATTTAAGTTCATATGTGCCGGCTGACATTTAAAGCGTAATGAGTTGAAGTTCATACCAACCAACATTGAATCTTGTATCGACAGTGTAACAGCAGCACAAATATCACTTTGTTGTGATGTCATGATCAAGTTAACGTCAGGCACCATCACTGAACATAACAGGGATTTAGCATCTTCTTTTCTGAATTAGATATTATTAGATATGTGAGAAGATTGGTAACTTATACCATTGTTTGTGTTACAGTGTACAGTCAGCTAAGGAAGGTGGAGGATCGTAAGAAGCAGGAGGAAGAGAAGAGAACACCCACCGGACGCTTTGATGTGCATTCCATCATGAACAGGGCATTTGAGGTTAGACGCAAAGCCTTGGAGGCAAGTGACACAGAGAGTGAGGATGGATCTTCAGAGGAGGAATGGAATTGATTGGTCATCACGTGTTACTATGGATACATTATACCCAGAATGTGATTGGTCAATGAGGCATATAATCCTTAAGCTTGCATTATTAACCAGGATTGTGTAAGGGCTGTCTAGAAGGTTTCGTGGGGAGTTCTGATTGACTTCGGAACAGACTGGTTTGGAATGTGTTGTTTATATCCCTAACCCTTAGGGATAAAGCATAGCCTGTTTGTGGTCGAGTGTACTTCAGGTACATATTCTGTGCTTACGCATGAGTGACCAGAGGACTCTACTTAGAACGGCAAGAAACGGAGTGACAAGACAATTGTACTAAGAGCTGAAAGATGCAGAGTGACCTGATGACTATACTTAGAGCGGCGAAATAGCTACTACTTATCCTCAGCAGGCCCTGTATGGCTGTTGTTGCCATAGAAATAGTTTTATACACACAAGCTATAAACATACTATACTTTTTACATAACGTTTTGCTTGTAATAATTTTAATTATTCAGATTTGAAAATTGTTATATATATATAATTATATATGATACTGTACTAATCCTCATTTATATCATTAATCGAAAACATGTTGACATGTTTTATCAGCGGTGTTTAGGATCCTAGTATAATAAACTAGTGTAAGATCCTGCAATATTTTACCCTATCTGTGACCTATACAGGGCTAACATAATTCTCATATGGGTTTCCCCTGCTTTAATTGTCATAGAACTGACTAGTATCTTGGGTGTCTGTAAGGTTGCAAACTTTTCTTAAAAGTATAAGTGTCTCCCACACTCTGTAAACCAAGGGAGATGTCTCTGTAGAAATAACAAAAAAATATCTCCCAGACTTGGGTCTAGTTACTGGCCAGAGTACACCAGGGGAAATAACGCCGTAAAAATACTGACAAGTGTCTCCGTGACTTGTGTTTAGTAACTGGCCAGAGTACATCAGGGGAAATAACTCTGTACAAGTACTGACAAGTGTCTCCGTGACTTGTGTCTAGTTACTGGCCAGAGTACATCAGGGGAAATAACTCTGTACAAGTACTGACAAATGTTTCCCAGACTTGTGTTTAGTTACTGGCCAGAGTACATCAGGGGAAATAACGCTGTACAAGTACTGACAAGTGTCTCCCAGACTTGTGTTTAGTTACTGGCCAGAGAACATCAGGGGAAATAACTCTGTACAAGTACTGACAAGTGTCTCCCAGACTTGTGTTTAGTTACTGGCCAGAGTACACCAGAAAAATAACTGAACCATTTATGACAAACAACTCTCTGAAACATCTCACTGAACTTGTTGTACTACACTGACAGGAGATAGCTCTGTATTGGTAACGAAAAATTTAACACAGTCTCCTCATCATCCATGTGCAGAAGAAAATATCTAAGGGGAGATAATTCCAAGGGAAGTTACTCCAAGTAACAAAGTGCCTCTAGTGACTGGGCAGTGTATACAAGGGGAAATAGCTCGGTATAAGTAATGATAAGTGTGTCCAAGACTTGTCTGGAATGACTTACCTGTACCCCAGGGGAAATGACTTGCCTGTACCCCAGGGGAAATAATTGAAATGACAAGTGTCTTGCATGCTTGTCTCTAGTCACTGGCCTGGATTTCTGTACACAAAAGGAGATATATCTATTGAAATACATGTACACGTCTCAACAAACATTTCTGGTGATTTGGTCATAAAAGTACTAGTGATGGAGCCAGACCATTAACTGTCCCGTTGTGTAGGGGAGATAAACATGTTTAGATGTTTCTGAGTTAGAAATTTCATTGTCCTAGGCAGACGGGCTCAGTTTGAAAACCATCTTAAAAAATAACGGTACAAGGTTTTTTGATATATCTCAGAATTTTTTGTTGTATGTCACACTTTCACAAGGCATTTCTGCTCTGTGGTACATTCACGTGACTTGGTGTAAGCTGCTGGTGAGATCTTGGTCTTCCCGTTTCCTGAAATTTCATAGATTCTCATTTCAGCATGAGATCAACCTCTGACAAATACAAGCATTGTTTAACGTCAATTAATGTTTGTAGTAGTCATTGTAATTGTTTTGGAAACAAATTTTTTATGGTCTATTCAAGAACAACATTGAGGAATCATGCTGTGGGAATCCAAAGTATTTACCTCCATTTATTATTTCTTTATATCATGCAAAGCCACCTCCATTTGACACAAAATTTTCAGTGTCAGTTGTAGGAGAAAAATTCAGGTATGCGTGTTGGAAAAGTATTTCCTCCAGTTTTTGTAATTTCATCTTTATTACCGTATTAACGATTGTAAATAGATAAGAGTGCATGTAGACATATGTAAAGATTCGTGCAATATTGTGTAAGTGAGGGTTTGTTGTGGTGATTGTCTATCCCGGTACTACATAACCAGATCATCACACAGGCCAGAGTGGTCAATATATCCTAGTAAGGGTGCTATTTTCACCAGTAAACATTCTCCTGCTTAGATTATAAGCTCAATGTTCCTTTATTTCTTTTTTATCCGTAAAATAATCTTAAATCGAGAATTTTCGGCATACCAGTAATTAATACCGACTGTAATACCATATTAATAACGGAAGAATCTAGAAAAGACTTAATTGAGGATGACATGTACTCTGCACCCTTATTAGGCTATAAAATCTACACAGTATTTTTACGAATAATCTTCTATTTTCAACCCTTATAAATATACAGTAAATAATGTGTGTATGTTGAGGGATCAATATGTATTGGCCTAGGCTGACTGTATGTACTGGAGTTTATCTGTAACCATTTAATATACTCTGTAGTTTTATACACGGAGAAAACAACAGGACTTTTTACTGTAACTACAGAACACATATATATATGTATGGTACCGATACCTGGTAGGTAATATATGATGTGTATTCTACAGATTTACAATGATAGAACCAACTTGAATCAATATTTGGACATATGTATATTTTGAGAATGAATGTTGTGAGTGGTATGAAGTATAAATCGGTGTACATTGCCTACTTGTACATCACATTAATTAATTATTGCTACTATGGTTTCTGGTTTCTCATTATTTTGTTACTTACTATTTATGATCTGCCATTCCCTACAGATTATATTTGGCTGGCCAATATCAATGGAGGAACAGTCCATGATGTCCACTAAGGGATGGCAAGTACGTTACACATCAGAGCCTCTATTTAACCAAGTTTACAGTGTATTACAATTGTAGCGTGCCTGATACATCTCTCTTAGTGATTTTTGTATGTTATGCATGTGTGGCGATATATATACAACATTTCATTCTTGCTATTATCTACAAGGTTAATCCTTCCTGTCACTCACAGGCCCTCAGTGATCTGGATTTACTTGTAACACCGTAGGGGTGGAAGGATCATACAGTGTTAGGGGTGGAAGGATCATACAGTGTTAGGGGGGGAAGGATCATACAGTGTAGGGGTAGAAGGATCATACAGTGTTAGGGGGGGAAGGATCATACAGTGTTAGGGGGGGGAAGGATCATACAGTGTTAGGGGTGGAAGGATCATACAGTGTTAGGGGGGGAAGGATCATACAGTGTAGGGGTGGAAGGATCATACAGTGTTAGGGGGGGGGAAGGATCATACAGTGTTACATACAACTGTTGATATTACTATTTCCAACATTGTGTAGTCAGATATGTATTGCGTCCCCTTTTATTTCCCTATTCTGTGTTCCTTTATAGTTCAGGTTTCATTCCGTTATTACAACACGATATATCCAAAGTGGTTCACTTATGCTACTTAAACTTCATTATCTGTGCTGAAACATGACCATCTAGGTATCCATTTCCAAAGACTTGAGCTTTAAATAAGAAATAAAACAATGAAGCCAACATAAGTTACAACAGGGGCGTCGGATATTATGAACTGTTATGGGATTTTTAGTACAATTATTCACATTTTGAAGAAGGAGTTAACTATTATATATTATATATCTTTAAGATATAATTGACAGAACTATAGACATATATGAAGTAGATTTAAACTAGAGAATTATCAAGATCAAATTTAACAGTCTGGGATGAAGGTGTCTTCACGATTTCTGTGCGATACAACTTACAACTACAGTTGTCTCCCCTTAGCTAAAAGTAAAGCATTTCAGCCCTGTTTGAATCTTTAATATCTGTCACAGCATAACAATGGAAGGGAAATGGTTGGTAACAGTTGATCCTCCTGACAATTATCATTTAATACAGGGGCTTGTATTTTAACATCAAATTTCCAACTACAAATATTTTCCTTTATTATACAAGACTGGATGGAACTGTCAAGGCCCTGTGTAAATTAAAAAGTTCTGTATGTATCCATTACCAAAGAGATACAGATGTGATGTATGTTACAAGGTGCTGTCTAGTGTGCTGGGCACTGTGTCATTGTAAATACGCATATTTATAGAGCTTCTTGTATGTTCTTCACTTAACCAGTCTCTAATTGTTACATGTAAAACCATCTGAGAAAAGTCTACCTTTCTTTTCCTAACAAAAACGATTTGCTGTTCATGTCGTTATTTAAAATTTAATAAGCGTTTTTTTCTCAATATTATGAACCAGTTTTGAAGTTTTGTAAGCGGCGGTTCTCTTCTATGTCCTTTCCTTTTTTGAATTAAAGGAAAAGCTCAAGTGACATGAAACTATTTGACAGAAAATTAAGCATAATAAATTTGAATGTATCTATCTATGTTTCTGTATTGAAGTGGTAAAGTCAGCATTATGCAGAGTGTTCTCTATGTTACACTAGTACACCAAATTGACTGGGCGTTGGGCCATAAAGTGCTACGGTGTTCTAGGTTTGCTCCATGTCTGTGTATTGTGACCTCCACCTGTGTACAGTATCTGTATAGTTATCTGTTGTACCCATCCTGTACATAACCATACATGGTGCTGACTAACGCACCATCCTGCTGTATTTAGGCAATAAAGTCTGGCTTCACATCATAACAATTTGTGTGTGTTTGTTGTCTTTGTGAAGCTATGTCACCATGTACAAGGTAATCAAACCATTTACCCTACAACAGAGGCCTTACAAGCTTGTAAAACTGTGTCTCTATATTCTAGCTACAGGTCACAATTCTGGACAAACACTCACAACAGCAGACATGAACGGTTTGACAACTGTTTGACTGTCCTACCTTAAGTCACACTCTTACACTGACAAGTTATCCTCGTTTCAGATGTTTCCCTTTCTAATGTTTTTATCTGCTAATTTTTTCACTCAAAATTCCTAGAAAATTCATGCGAGGATTTTTTTTTTTTGTACAGAATTAAGTTACGGAGATAACCACCAGTAATAGTTTTGAGGGAATGCAATAAAACAAGATTTTGGTACTGTATGAACATACAAATTTATTCAAAAATGTATATATATGTGAATGTAAGAATATCTCCTTGGAGAAGGATTGTGGTCATGTAAGTTTATCTGTCTGACATTGTTTGAAACTACTGTTTACAAAGACAGCTAAATGAATACAAAACAATTTTCCTGTATGAAATGGTTGAAATAAAGAAACCCTAAGAAGATTAAGCAATATGTCTTAACTACACAAACATTTACTGCTCAGAGGTCTACATACAATTCATATGATAGTTTGCAGGAACTGACAAAGGGAGACGACTAATGTGTAAATGTCCATTGGAACTCAACCGGGATTGTATATATTACTCATAGTGATACCAGACAGTTCATGTGTTGGTCCCATGGATGTATATTGCTTTCACCAGAGATTACTACAAAATCTCATTTCACAACTGGTGAATGTTCACATTGCTCTCATAGAAATAGATGTGTTTCAAACACACTTGGAGTCAAGCCAACTATAATATTTCAAACTTATTCAGTCTACATTCAATCAACTTTCACCTCATACAGGATTCAATGAAAACTACCAGGAATCTACCAGGTACATATCACAGATTATTGATAAAATATCACGGCTTATAAACTACATGCATTCTGATACTGGTCATCTACCAGGTATTGTACATTTCATCACACTACTATCAACTACCATCCTTTTATAAAATGGAACTGTGGTTAATTAATAAACATCTGTATTTATATTACAATCAAATTTAAATCAACCAATTTTCTCACAAGCACTGATTGTCTACACATTGGTTCTGTACCCATCTAAATGCGATACTTTGACCACTTGACCTAAGCTGCATTAATTAAACATGAATGATTCTATCTCTATACTTCCACAGCACAGGTTTCTTCATCCTTAAAGATATTCTCTTAAAAGTTGGTCTCGTTGCAAGACTTGTTAAACTAACAACATTGCCCTGACTATGTAAACTTGCTTGGATACTGTCTAGGGCACTTGGCTGACGGTAGCCAGTTATCTTCCTCAAGGATCCCATGTGACCAGTGGACAAGCTCCATCACTTTAAACAACATTTTCATGGTTAATTGCAGCCCACCATGCTAGAGTGTAATTGTGTTCTGTCTTTAGCACAATCACAAATTAAGGTAGTGACAATATCCATTGACTACAACACTATACACAAAGATCTGAAGCTTTAATTTGTTCAGTTCTTAAAGCAGATCATCTCATAATTCAAACATAGACTGCGATGTCTTGCTGAATGTACCAGAGGACCATTTCTGCTCCTGAATGTAAGCTTCCAAACACTTGTCCTGAGTACCTAATTACTGCCACCCTCAACTGTTTCACTATTTCCCAAGTGGCAGATGACCCACACTTGTCCCTGAGTAGCAGGTGACTCGCACTAGTTCCCTAGTGGCAGATGACTCTTACTTATCCCTGAGTAGCAGGTGACTTGCACTAGTTCCCTAGTGGTACGTGACCCTCACTACTTCCCGAGAGGCAGGTGACCCACACTTGTCCCTGCTTGGCAAGTGACTCTCACTTGTCCCTGAGTGGCAGGTGACTCACTAGTTCCCAAGAGGCAGGTGATTCTTACTTGTTCCCAAGTGGCAGATGACCCACACTTGTCCCTGCGTGGCAAGTGACTCTCACTTATCCCTGAATGGCAGGTGACCCACACTTGTCCCTGGGTGACAAGTGACTCTCACCTATCCCTGAGTGGCAGGTGACCCACACTTGTCCCTGAGTGGCAGGTGACCCACACTTGTCCCTGAGTGGCAAGTGACTCTCACTTATCCCTGAGTAGCAGGTGACTCACTAGTTCCCAAGAGGCAGGTGATTCTTACTTGTTCCCAAGTGGCAGGTGACCCACACTAGATCCTGAGTGACAGGTAACTTACACTTGTGGCAGATGGCCCACACCTCTCCATGAGTGGCAGATGACTCTCACTTGTCCATGAGTGGTAGGTGACCCACACCTATCCTTGAGTGGCAGGTGACTCTCGCTAGTTACCCAGAGGCCGGTGAATTGCTAGTTCCCGAGTAGCTGGTAACCACACAAGATTCAGAGTGGTAGGTGACCCACACTTGTCCGTGAGTGGCAGGTGACTTTCACTAGTCCCTACGTGACAGGTGACTTTCACTAGTTCCCAAGTGGCAGGTGGCCCACCCTTGTCCATGAGTGGCAGATGACTCACGCTAGTTACCAAGTGACAGGTGACTCTTACTAGTGACCTAGTGGTAGGTGACCTTCATTTGTCATGTGTTAAATTTTAATGCTATTTTAGTGTCCGATGAAAGCTTATGAATTTGTTATCTAGAGTGATTTACTTGTTGCGAGTATCGTCTAGAGGGTTGTCCACAACAGACTGGTGTATCATGATAAAAAGAGGGATGTAGGTGAGGAAGTCGAGGAGGTCAAGTGCATCCAGATGTGAGAGTTTGTCTCGGACCTCTGTCTCGTGTGTTAGACTGACCCCTCCCGCCCTAAGCTCCACACATAGCTGGTCTATAGAGATTTTGTTGGTGTCGTGGTCAACATTGCACTCCCACAGTTTCTACAACAAACAGAATCTGTATAAATTGACACCTTATACGCAGTATGTCTTGTATTCAGTTGTGATGACACATATTGAATCAAGATTATATGATCAGAAACTACAAGCACTTCAAATTTTTATTTTTCAAAAAGATAAGCAAATTGATAATTAATGTATTTTCATTATCAAGGAAAAACACATCAAGTAATCAATATTTTGATTTAATGATTTTCTATGCACAAAGTCATGACTTCAACTTCAAATTAGAATGTCATTTAAGGATTTGATGCCTGAAAAATAAATAAGAAAATCACATCTGCTATAATGCCATGTTTTGCTTTATATCACATTATTTTTCTAACAACAAACCTGTCACACTGATATGCAAACAAACACATTAGTGAATCAACAATCTTCCTAAATTTTAATTTTGCAGGAAATATCAAAATGCTGCTACACTTACCTTACACATGAATAACTTCATCTCTAACATGCTGAAGTCCATTTTACCAATCATGTTTCTCATCCAATTACTGAAAGATACACAAAATTGATCATCATGTAACAATTGTACATGGAGACAGACAGACAGACATATCTCATGTGGTGATATACTGAGGGTGATAAGTCACTCCAGGGCTGTAATTTTCTGTGAGAGAGATAAGTGACTTAAGTCACTCCAGGGCTGTAATTTTCTTTGAGAGAGATTAATAGGGGGTGAGATAGGGGAATCACAACCCGAGAAGGGGGGGGGGGGGGGGGGGGGGGTGGTTCTTAAGATGCGAAACAGGAGGCTTTGCTGAGTGTTCGGCAACTTTTTTTCCCCCCGAGGGCTGAGATTCCCCTATCTCACCCCCAAGGGAGTGAATGATTCTTTTTCTCTTACCCTGTTCTCCCATTGTGTATCATATACACAATGTAATGATAACATTACATGCTAAATTCAGGGTTGACGTTGATGGATTGTTGACGTGACGTCATTGTATTGTTGAAGTGACGTCATACTATTGAGAGATTAACAGATCTCATGTAGGGATATACTGAGAGAGATTAGTGACTTACTCCAGGGCTGTAATTTTCTGTGAG